GAGGGGGGGGGGGGGGGTTGGCAGCTCTTCTAGGGAAAAACCAGGAAGAGGAAGCTGTACTTTGAAGCTTGCTAATGTGAAGCAGAGACTGTGTGACACAAGGGAGGGGCAGGGTGGGAACAGGCATTGGGAAAGGAGGACTGGGCAGGCAGAGGGGTGGGGACAGTCCACAGCCTTGTGGCCTTCCCAGCAGGAAGTTCTTCAGAAAGCCTGTGTGCAGGGAGGTGGTTGGAGATGAACACAGTCCACTGGTGCCACATTCTTGCACATTCAATTAACTGATTTGCTGCAGCTTCTGGACAGAACAGCAATGTAGTAAGGAATAGTAACCTCTTTCCCAGGGCCCTGGATCTGCTCCCATCCATGCCACATGAGTCTCTCACACAGCTGCCTGGGGAAGCTCAGACTCTGTGAGGGCCCTGAGCACAGCCCACTCCACACACGCTAGGGCTTCCCAGAGCTGCTGTGTGTTAGGTATGTGGCAGCTCGCACTGGTGATGGCAGGCAACCTACCCTGGTGGAAGGTGCTGCTGGATCCATTGCGACAGGCCTTGAGGGCACTTGGCCTTGAGAGCCTTCTTTGTCACCCAGGGGTGAGGTGTAAGGATACCAGGTTGCTCTGCTCTTTGCACTGGCCACAGCAGTGCCAGACCCAGCTTGCGCTCATGCGGTTCATGGAACTCTGCTATATACCAGCCGCCTCAGTCCTGCTCTGAGGCCAGGGGGCTGGACCAAGTTCTGCTCAGCATCTGTATGCAGCCAGAGCCAGGGCACTGACCCCAGCCCGTCTTCTACTCCAGAGTCGAGATCCATCTCCTTGTAGCCATGTGGCCTGGTTGGCTCCTCCTGTGAATGCCCCTTCCCTCCCCTTCCCCAAAGCAACAGCCCTTACCCCATTATGTCTCAGCCCCACAACAGTCCCTGGGCTGCCCATACCTTGCCCCTTTAACTCTCCTGCTAGTGTGGCCTGTAATCTGCTAGGTCAGATGTCTCGGGGATTTGCTGCTTGCTGTGGCCTCATTTGACTGCATTTCTCTGGGACAAGCAGGGATTTGCAGCATGCAGTAAGTGTTTGGAGTAAAGCACCCAGCAAGGCCTGATGTGTTCTGGCAGCTGAGGGTGTGAGGATAGGCTTGTTGCTCTCCACTCCAGCAGGATACAGAGCTTTGCAGGACTGGATGCTTTCGAACCCTTGAAGAATCAGACCTCCAGTGCAGTGCAGGGCAGGCTGTATGCAGGCTGTCGGACTGACTCGAGGTTACTGCCCTGGGTCAGGCCTTCAAAATTGGTGCAGGGGGAGCCCTGGCTTTGGAGCCCAAGCCATCCTAGATCACATTTCTTCCCTGGGGAGCTACCAAGCAAGGATGATGGGCAGTGGTAGCTGAGCATATGCCAGGGACTGTGGTGTCTGTGTTGTGGTGCACAGGGCTGTATCGGAGCACTAGTAGTTTTTCCAGCACTGACTTTGAGTTCCCCTTTCCCCTCCTGTGAACATGGTATTCCACATCCATGTTCCTTGTGATCACAGTCTCACGTCTGAAGGCTGTGGTGCTGGGGAGGTGGCAAAGCAAAGCTGGCTCCCAAGGGCACCATTTGCCCTTGGTCCTGTTGGGGATCTTTGAGTGCTTGAAGGAGGATTAATTCTCAGGAACCTTAAGTAATCACTGTGCTGGAAGCAGCCCTGTTCCAGGTTGTAACAGAACTTCAGCCACCTGGCACACCTCACCTGCCACCCCTCTGATAAGGGTCAGAATGGTGGGTTTTGTAGTCACAGTATTGAGGTATTCAGTTAGCATAGGCCCTACTGACACTAGGCAGTGCTGCACCACAGGGAGCAGGGTGGGGGTCCAGTAGGAGCAATAGCATAATTAGGGGTGGGCAAGTGTGGAACACACCCTGGGCACCAAATTAGGGGGGGTGCCAGAATCGCCTCTCACCCCTGCAGAAACCACAGACCAACAGTGTTGCCAGGCTGTGAACTCCAAAACAGTTCCCAGCTGTCATTGCTTTAGGAGCAGCTGGGGTGAGCAGAGCATGTGGGAGCAGCTCTATCGGGACTGTTTTGGGAGTCCCTGTATGGCAGTGCTTCCATGTTGTGGACTTCCCCCAGCCACTCTCAGAACTGCCCCCCAGCTCCTGGAACCAAGTGTCCCTCTGGCTCTCCTACATGGTTTGTCCCAGGTGCCAACTCAGCTTCTTATGCCACTGAATAGGAGGCGTAGTTGGTTACTACCCTCAGTTCCCCAGTGCAGTAGAAGTGGGTGCTATACTGCACAAAGTGCAGTAGGGGTTCAGCAAGAGGCTGTCAGTTGGGGGCCTTGGGAAAGGGAGAGGGAGCAGTGCAGAGGGTTCCTCCTGCAGCAGCAGTAGAGGCACAGGAGGACTAAGGGGCATCTGCAAAGCTGCTTGTGCTTGTGCTTGTGCTTGTGCTTGTGCTTGTGCTTGTGCTTGTGGGGGAGAGGCCAGAACTGGAACAGCTTAGGGGCTGCAGAGCAAAACTGAGGAGCTTTGTTAGCATCCCTCCTGCCTTCCTGCTCCCTGGCTTGTGCCTGCTCCCCCCAGCCCTGCCTGCCTTAGCCTGACTACTGTTGCGGTAGGAGGCCGCCCAAAAAAACCTGTGGTTCTTTAGGGTTCTGTTGTAATGGCTCAGCTGTTGGTGTTCCTCCCTTCCTAGTACAAGAGACTGAAGGAAAGAGAGACGGAATACCCTGTGGACATACTCTGCCTGGAGCTGGCTGCTTGCTGCTCTCTAGCGTGGGGTGGGAGAGGCTGTGCCCCTGACTACCATCTGCCTTTCTGTGTTTTTCTACAGATGTGTACTCCTGCCAACACGCCAGCCACTCCCCCGAACTTCCCAGATGCCCTCACCATGTTCTCCCGCCTTAAGGCCTCTGAAAGCTTCAACAGCAGCAGCCCTGTGGCATCGATGGCGACTTCTCCTCCGCCCCCACCCCCACCACTCCCTCAGCATGGAGGCTTCAACTCTGCCTGGCCTGCAGCCTCACCTCCCAGCCAGCAGCCTCAGCAGAGCATGTGGACTCCAGCCCTGCCCTCGCAGCCTTCAGGCTGGCCTGCCACAGTCTCCCAACAGGCCACTTCAGAACAGAAGGCCAATGTGACCATGGAGGCTGAGAGATGAGGCTGTGGAGAAGTAAGAACACAGTGAGGGGAAGGCCCCCATGATCCCTGTGTTCGTTTTTTTCTTTTTTTCTTTTTTTGTCCTTTCCCAAGGAGCAGTGGAATTTGGCTGCCTTGGAGACTGGCAACTGTAGACAAACAGACACAAACAAATAGCCACCTTGCATGGGTTTGGTTTGAAGTAGTTTTTACTTGTCCTAGAACTGAATGGAGCTCCCCAGGGACACATGGAATCTGCACCAGATGTGGGAGCTGTCAGTAGCCTCTGCGTCCAGGAACCTGATTTTATAGGAGTCTCTCAACATGGGGATGTCCTTCCCCACCTGTTTGGGATGCTGGAGTTTTGCATGCAAGTGACAGTTACTGAAGAAGGGGTCCCTTCTTGCTGATCCAGCCACCCCTTCCCAGCACTGACTAGGGTCCCACTGTCAAGAAGAATGGGATTGAGAGTCATGTGTGTCTCCCCTCCTTCCTGCTCCCCTCAGGACCCCACCCACCCTGCTGAGTAGGGCAGGGAGTGGAGAGAAGATGCCCAGTGATTTTTTTTAATCAAAAGGAAAAGCCCCATTTCTGCTCAGCTGTAGGGCTGGAACCCTCACCCTCTCTGATACAAACTGAGTGCAGAGTGAGTGGGAAAGGGAATGCAGGCTCCTTTGAAGATATTTAGCATCTTTTTTTTTAATTAATCCAACTCTCTACTTTCTACAAAAGGGGTGCACCCCCTCTCTGAGCCCCTGGGGTCAGATTCCTCCAGGCATGTGTAAATGGGGTAGGCAGGCAGTAAGCTGGCCTGGTCTGGCTGATGCCATGTTTCCTCAGGCCCCCTGGGGCAGGGGTTGGGCAGAAGGTACATTTGCATGATGTGGTGTAAGCCCCACAGAGGCTGGAATTGTTTTTAAACCCTCTGTTCTTTTCTCCTTGTGGATGAGAGTCCTGCCAGGCACACTGGCAGTGCGAGGCCTGGGTGCTTCGGAGCAGCCACCTGCAATACACGTTTTTCTGCTTTGACCCTAGTGTCTTTGCTTTTGTTCACAGCAGTTGGGGGAGGCAGGAAGCTGTTTCTGGGACCAGGGATCCTAGGTGGCTCTGTCCCCAAGGCTGCCATGAGCTGCTGCCAGTGGATTGGGCAACATGTCTTGCCCTCCAGACTAAGCCAAGCTGACAGGGGTAGGTGCTCACACACAAAGCCAGAACTCTGGGAGAGAAGAGATCCTGGCTAACAGTGCAGCAGCAGGAGGCTTTCCTTACCCATTCCAGAGTAACCCCAGGGTCAGTGTGCACCCCAGCCTGAGTCCACTGTCTGAGTGAGAGAGCCTGGGGAGGGGTAGGGCACAAAGCATCAAGGTCCCACAGGAAGTTGGGTGTGCTCTACTCCTTACAGTGGTACAGCAAAAGAATGTCCCCACTCCAAGATGGAAATCCAGTGGGGCTGGGGCTAGGGCAAGTGACTTAGTCTGTTCCATAAAGCAGCCCTGCAGTTTAGCCTAGGGCACACTTACCTCTTTGCTGCCTGCATAGTGTTGCTCTGTGGTTATACTGGGGTTTTACTTCCCCAAAAGTGGCCACTTGATGGTATTTGTAGACTAAGAAATGCTTCTGTTAAGAGAGAGACCCTATATGAGCAGCTGCACCAAAGAAGAATCAAAGGAACAAAGCCCTTCAGCCAAAGGCTGGTTTTCCCAAGGGACTTGCTGCTGACTCCAGTTTTGAACTGGCTTATTTCTGAAATTTTAGCTGAGAGTTTCTGACAGAGAAAACTACAATGAGGCAGCATGGGGGCTCTAACACTAGCCCAGCCCAGTCTACTAGATAGAGCAGTGGTTCTCAGCCAGGTTGCCTTGAGATCCTTTTAGGGGTTCTACAGCTTGCTGAATTTATCACTGTTAGGTGTGTAAACATAATTCACAAGATAAACCCAGAGATTTCAAATAGGAATTCATAGTGTTAAAATGATTCTGACTACTTATGGTTTTTCTGAGTTCTTTGCAACAGAAGAATTGCTGGATTATTTTTCTATAGTCAAAATTTTCATTCATGAAAAGTAGGAGCTGCCATTTACCCAGGGCTGCCTCAAGTCCTAAAAGGTTGACAAGCACCAAGACAGAGGCAGTTCAGGTGCTAGACATGGCCACCCTGCTTTTTGCTCCAGCAGAGACACTTGCCAGGGTGAAGGCAGCAACTTCTCTGCAAAGTTACACTGAAGGATGAGAACCTCCTATAATAAAGCACTGCTGAGCTGAGCTGAGCAGCTTAAAAGCACTTTGCATTCTTCCAATGGGGAACTAACAGAGGTCAGACCAATTTACAAAGTGGCTTAGTCAGATGGGCACCAGAAAGCTCAAGGTGCCTGTCTAAGGCTAAGGAAAGGAGGAGCTGGGGAGCAGAGATGGGCCTGTCTGGTATCCAGAGGAGCAGGGGCGACACGTAGGGGGTGCATGCGGGTGCACGTGCACCCCCTGAGCATGGTAGTGCACCCCTTGCAAAAAGGCACTGCTGACATTGCCGGTGGCACCTGCATACGGTCTCCGCTCGCTGCCCTGCCACCAATACGGCCGGTGGTGTCTGCAGGTGGTCCGTGATCCCCACTGGCAGTGGGTGATCGCCACCCCTTGGTCAGCACTCGCCACTCCCACTGCTGCCAGTGCCAGTGGTGTCTGTGGGAACACTGTCCTGCTGCCGTTGCACTCCTGTCACCGCTGTGCCCCCTCCCACTGCTAGGGGCACGCACTGTTCGTGCAGAGGAGGCTGAAAGTTGTCCGAAGACAAACCCTGTGGGATTGTGGGTAATATGCAAATACCTGATCTGAGTAATACTCTGGAAGGTGTGGTGCATGGAGATACCTGCAGGAATGTGGTATTTCACAGCCTGCACCCTGAGGTGAAAGGGACTGGTACAGGGTCAGGTGGAAGCTGCAGGCTCAAGATTGGTCATGGTGTCAGCAGCCTATGGATTGTTCCCCCAGGTACCATGACTGCTGGCAGCATCAGAGGGCTAACATCACCCAAAAGAGCTAGGGAGTCAATGTGTCAGGTGGAAGAACAAGTATATCAGTGCTATGATCCAGTGTATCCTGCTGTGGTGCAACCCCCACCAGACAAGTCTTTTGCCAAAGAGTGAGGAAGCCCCTATGGCTGCTCAGTTTTTCATGCAGTAGCATGTTTTGTTAGGAGCCGGACTGGTCTCGGGGTAGTAGCTGGTGGCATAGGTACTCTGTGCCAGGGGTGGTCTAAGATCGAGCTCCTCATACCAGAGTGCTGCCCAAACATCTGGTTAGATTTAGGCTTTGAAACAAGGACTTCTATCCCAGAATGCATTGCTGCAACCAGCTCTTTCGGCCTCCACTTAGTTATGCCAGCCAGAGACAGAAGGAACCAGAGACATTCTTTATTGTGGAAGGAGCCTGCTGGTTTGGGGTCTTGGCTTTAGTGCATGGACACAGAAGCACGTGGGGGCACAAGAGCTGCAGTGCAGTGGTTGGAAACCTATAGCCTACTGAATCTGGCCTGCAGAGCCCTTTGATCCAGCCCACTGATGTGGAGCTTCAGCAGCTGGATTGACCCAATTCAGATCAGAGGCAGGAGGGTAGGTGCACAGAATGTGTCTGGCAGGAATCGGGTACTACTGCTGCTGCTTTTCTCAGGAAGAATGGCAGCACAAGGAGTGTGTGGCCAGTGCTCATCCCTGCAGGGGCAGGGGAAAGCATGGGGGGACTGGTGCATCATGAGACTGGGTGGGGCACAGTTTGTGAGTGGCAGCATCGGCAGCAGGGTGGTGAGTGGCGACCACCCACAGAAGCCAGGGGTGGCAGTGGGGCGGCGAGCAGCAACTGCTTGCAGAAACCGGCAGCGGGGTGGGGTGGGGGAGAGATGGAGTTTGGTGAGTGGCAACCACCCGTGAAAGCTAGCAGTGGCGGCCAATCTCAGGAGGGACACATGCCCCCCCTACCAGTTGCCTATGGGGGAAAGCAACAGTTGCCATAGCCCCTTGCTACTGCAGAGAAAAACTCTAGCTACCAACACTTCTGGTGCTGCCATGAAGCAAAGTGGTGGCAGCATCTGGGTCCTAGTGCCCACCCACCATATCCTGGTCCACCACCTGATGAGTTTGCCAACCCTGCCATAGTGCATCTGATAAGCTGGAACAGGGCTGTCCAACTGGCAGCTTTTGAGGGTTAATCCAGGGGTGGGCAATTGTTTGGGTTAGAGGGCCACTTAACAAGTTTGGGTGAGCTATTAGGGGCTGGGGGAAGTGGGGATGGGGCAGGGAGATGCCAATTGATCCTATCTGGCCCACCATCCACCACCAGAAGCCTAAGAAGGGAGGGCTGCACCCTGTGCCACTCCACTCTGCCACAGCCAGGGTTGGGCTGGGCCAGGCCTCATACGACTCCTCTACCCCCCCATATTCATCCTGCTCCCCTACCTGGCTTCCAGTTGGCACTGCAGAGTCCTGGTACTGTGCCCACTGGCAGCCGGACCTGCACAGGACAGGGTGCAATGCAGCATGCTGGGTCCTGCCACGATGAGCCATTGCTGCTGTGCTGCACCAGGAAAGTCGGGGATGGCTGCTCCAAACTAAGTCTTCCCACACAGCTGTCATAGACTTACCTTCTAGTGGCACCTCAGCAGCTGCGGCTCATCGCGTTGGCAGGCGAGACATCTATTCAGCATGCTGCATTGTGCACATCCCGTGTGGGACCAACTGTTGACAGCCATGATGCCAGGACTGTGCAGCCACAGTGATGGCAGGAGGGAGGGATGGATGCAGGAGGATGGGGTGAAGGAGTCTGCACACTGCACAGCCAAGACTAGCCCTGGCTGTGGTAGTGCAGGTCAGCACAGGGTAGGGTGGGTCGCAGCCCTCCCTCAAGCTTCCGGTGATGACCGGCAGGCCAGATAGGATTAGTTGGCAGGCCATATTTTGCCCACCCGTAGATTAATCTGTGGCCCCTGGGCCCCCAGCTGACTGCCATTCACCACTGCTTGGTCTGCAACAGCTGTCAGCATCCCGAGTGACCTTCCCTCTACCTTCATTACCTGTGCCTGCCCCAGGGGTTGGTGCTGCAGAGCCCAAAGTGTTGGGGGAACCCACAACCAGGAAGCTGATGGGGCGGGGGGAGAACCTGCATGTATAGCACAGGGAGGGACACTCATGCACATGATGCAGTGGAGAGAGGGGACTGCCCATGTGCGGGGTGCAGCATGAGAGTGGAGGTTGCCCCTGGGGCAGCAGCCCCAGGGCCCATTACACAGGCAGCATGTGCAGGGTTGCTAACCCAAGATAAATATTTTTACGGACAATCTGCAAGCTTTTTATTGACAGCCAAACATTTTTACTGATATGCTTTTACTGATATACGTTTTACATACAGTAAATGTAAGTCTTCTGCCATCCCCCAGCTAGAATGCCTGGATTCAAATTTAGGGGTTTAACATCAACCATAGTAAAATAAAATAGTTTGGTTGTCAGTAAAAAGTTTCCAGTAACATTTTCTTGGGTTTGGTAACCACACTTTATTGCAGTGATGGTTTTACATTCTGCTGTCCTGTTCCCCCACCCTCCCTGCCCCCAAGCCGGGGGTCCCCTACTTATCCCCGTATCCTTATGCCCCTGACTCCAACCTGCACCATGCTGTCCCCCCAGCCCGCCTCCCAGCCTTACCTCTGTTGTCCCCATTCCCCTCATCCTGGAATGGACCCCCAAAGAAACCTATCCAGCAGTTATTACAAGTAGCCTGCCATGCAGCAGCAACAACACATGGCTGAGAGAATACTCCCTGCAGGGTGCTACATTCCCATTTGGACACCAGGGGTCACTGATGTGGTCTGTAGGAGCTACAATTAAGCTGCAGCTGCTTTGTGTTTTTACTGACAGCTAAAGTTTTTTTTATAGATTTTGCTGACAGCCATTTTAGCTTGATTTTTTACTGACAGTAAGTACATTTACTGAAAGTAGCCCTGGGCATGTAGCCACACAGAATGTGGTCCTTGGCTGCTTAGAAGCCAGA